AAAAAAAAGGAGTTGAGCGAAAAGTGAGGACACATGGCATTGAACTGTTACACGGTTCATAAGTTATTAACCCTTGTCTTTTTCCTTCCTTTTCTTCCGGAACAAAATACATCGGAAACTAGAGAATTCAGTTTTGGGAATTTTGTTTTTTACAGTTTCATTTTAAGCCTTTTAGTTGTCATTTTTATCAGAGGCAGGAAGACGAAAAAACAAAACGAAATTAGTCGTCGTTGACGTAGTAAGCAGTTTAAGCACACATAAAAAAGGCGAATAATCTTTATAAGATTGAAGTGTGGAAAAAGACAAAAAAAAAAAAGGAACAGACTTATATTAGGTTTGTTAGATAAGCAGCTATTTTACAACTCTGATTGGTAGGACACGCTCGTGATGCTGCAGTTGACTTATCATACTGTTATTTCTTTTTTATCACTTATTGATGAAGCCCGGGATTTTCTTTCTTTTGCCGCCGACAGAGAGTTTTATCGGTTGGCTTTCAATGTGTAAGCAAAGTAAAAAAAAAACGTGTATTTTGAAGAATGTAAATGGGGCTTTTGAATTAGGCTGTGAACTGGTGAAACCGTAAATGGAAAATAACGGCTTTTAGTCATTTTCCACTTCAACTTTATCTTACTCGTTCACCACTATGATTTCTGCTTGGAGTCGCAGCGTCTAGGTCTCCTCTTTTGTTTCTGTACTTTTTTTCCTAAACTATCCAGTATGGGAATTTTACGGTGCTGAAGGTTACGTCAATGGCGTTTAGCTGTTTTTTAATGGGATATTCGTTGGTGCCATCTGTATAACGAAGAGATTCAACAGATCTGTAATTCTCAAATAATTAGTAAGATCCATTCGCAGATTTTTTTTTATTTTGCGGAAAGGAAAAGTAGCGAAAATTCAAATTTTTTTTTGGTCAAGGGGGAGGGAGTTTATTGAATCGTTCTGCTCAGTACTGTTTATTAGTTTAAAGTTTCATAATGGCCTGTGTCATCTAGTTCATCAGTCATTCAAATTGGCTCGGGTCTTTTGAAAACTAATCAAATATGATTGCTTTTAAGATAAACATTTTTCCCCGTTCGCGACTTTCAAATCATATCATTTTGTTGGTGTATTGTTTGTGTTTTGGTATAACTATCACAGTCATTGCTGTGGGAGTTGATTATTTTTGACTGATTTTGGTTATCAGCAGCGATCTTACTACAGATGTAGGTTTAGTAAAAACAACTGGAAGAGTTATGTAGAATTAGTTAAATATACAGAGGTAGAAATGTGGTGTTTTCAGCGGCATGTTTAATCAGATATATATTTATTCATTTGTTTTCCTGCCTCATAATTTACCTTTCCCAAATTTCTTTTATTTTATTATTTGGTTTTATTTTATTTTAATTTTTTTTTGACGTCTGATTCAGTTTCTCTACAGAATGTGGTTGTTTTGAAGCCGGGTATTGAAACATTGGCGTATAACGGTAGAATCGAATGCTTGACATTCCAGAGCACTTATTACGGCTTTTTGTGTTATTTTAGCAATTTTCTTAAGCTCAACAATGGCGGAAGATGATAAGGGTACTACGGAGAAACCCACCAAAGCCGAAGAGGGGACCGCTGAGGAAAACAAAAAGAAGCCAGCTTTTGATGACTTATTGAAGTTCGGCAGATATACTAAATTTCTAACTATTGTGTTTTTTTTGTTACTGACCACTCAGTCGCTACAGCTGTTGTTTATGTCTTTTGCAGGTACTCTTATTTTTTTTCTTTTTTTGAGTTTCTATTTAACTTTGAAGAAAGTTTTCTTATTTCATACTATTTGGCTTCTTTTTCCTTCTTCATCGACGATAGGGCGTTAACAGTAGACTGGAATATAGTTCAAAAACATTGATGCTTATTTGGAAGCATTCCCTGTGTTTCTAAAAAAAATGCAATACGTTGGCAGCAGTAAAACTATTTAGTGCTGTGAGGTTCTGTATCCTATAATGGGACTTTGGTTTCCTATCAGTGGTGTTTTTTTGTTATTTTGAAAGTGATTGGTTCTTTTCAGTTCATTTGTAGCAGCGTTCTTCTTGAATACTTTTTAATTTTTGACATTGCCAATGGACGGTTTAATTTTTTTTTTATTTCTTTGGAGTTAGGAGGATTTTGGAAAGGATGGAGGAAGTAAGTTGGAGAACGCTAACAGGTTTACAGCTGTGATTTAATGAAAGATAAAGCCTAGGAAGACTATTAATCGATATTTTAGCTAAAAAAATCTTTGAGTTTTTGTTGTTACATTCATGATTCTGTAAACTTTATGAAATGACCTTTAAACATCTGAGCCATTTCTCTTGTTCTAAGAAAGAAGAAGCAAAGAAGCACTTTTCCTACTGTGGTATTTATAAAGCAAATAAGCTCTTTCATGTTTAAGGGGCTGGACCACGTGTCACAGATGTTACATGTAATGGAACAAGGCCACCGGAAATAACGAAGGAAGTGATGAGTGAACTTGTTAAAGTCTGTGACATGGTAGAAGAGATTGAGAAGAAAACAGGAGTCATTTGCGAGATTAGCAGAAGTTATAAGTATGGAGCCATACATAAATCGGTTTGTTGTTCATAGAAGTTCTTTTCCCCGTTATTGGACTTTTGCTAATACCTTGCTGCTATTTCTCAGTAGACAGTACTTTTTTCCGATGAACGTGTAGGACTGTGTGACGGTTTCATTTTGAACA